TTAATAATACACGTGTAACGTTGACAACGTGTATTTACTTCCGTCGGCTGTAACGAGCAATAGCTCTCTCATTTCTGAGATGGATTTGAGTTCTTGATGATATGAGAATTATTAGAAATTACTAAATCTTGTCACTAATGAGTCCTGAATGAAACTATGATATTATTGAAGATGATATAGAAGTTCAAGAGACAACCACTGAAGAAAGCTAATCAATGATCGAATTCCTTCATATTTGAATACGTTGAATACTTTATTGTGCGTAATAATTTTATGTTTATGCTATTTGTTGTTGTACTAGACTTTTATGATGCTTATATTTTGATATTATAAACTACGAAGGCTAAAATGATGTTGTTGTCCATTTTTTTTTTTGTAATTTTCACACATATGCTTTATGCTTTCTTAATTTTATGTATATTTATAAAATTACAGATGTCCGTTGTCCGCGGCCGTAGCCCGTTCCTGTATTTTTAAGAATTGACGTGTCCGTATGTGTGCCGTATCTGTATCGGGTGCTATACATAGCTTGGGCCACATGCAATCCACTTGGCCCTCTTCCTCTCTCTCTGTTCGCCCCATCCTCTCCTTTTTAAATTATTCTTTTCCTTTTTAACGAATCGTAAATTAAGAGAATAATTAACCCGCACTTCTTAATTCCTTCCTCCACCTTATTGAATTTCAAATTCAATTCCATGATCTAATGGAAACTTTGAAATTATTTTCAGGCTCAATTAATCTTAATTCCTTCCTCCCCATTGAATAGCCAAAACTTGAATATCAGTGGAAATCTCCTTCCCAAGTCCCCAAGCCAAGGCCGAAACCCATAGCCCCTCCCACCAGTCTCGGCCGCCCCCTCCAGCTCCCTTTCCAACCACATGTTGTTCACCCTCTATTGGTTTCATCACTTCCGAAAGAAGACGAACCCCTTTTTCCTACTTTCCATCAAGCAAGAATGGCGGATCCCAAGCACTATCATGGGTTTGTATTTGATATTCGAGGCCATCGAAGAGTAGCTACTACCGATTCCGTAGCAACTTCCTTTAAATGTTAAGTTATTTTCATTAAATTGTACTTTTAATTCCGAATACTTTGACATATAGAAGCATACTTAAATATTTGATTAATATTTAAATAGAAAATGAATAATATTAAATAAAAGTAACTTAACTACATTACTTAAATGATTTACTGATAACTATTAAGTCACTTGTTTCATTAGTTTATTCATTTCATTGTAGCCATCCACTTATATAGGCATGCATTGGTTTGACAGTAGAATCTGTAATTAGCGGCTGAGATCATCTTAGGCACTTAACTAGTCATGCAAGGGATTGATTAAGTGGGTGCAGGAATCATGCGGCTGTATTGAGGAAAAGACTTAGTGGAAATTTAAAATATATTAAATTACACCAAGTGAAAATGCCTTAAGTTAATTTCAGCCCACTTCCATTCTATCGTCCCGTCAATTTTTCTTCTGGAGCTGAAGCATTCCGCGAAGAAAGGGAGCAAGATGAGCTGTTGGTGGCTTAAAACAGGTAAGAAAATAAATTCATGTAAGGGAAAGGAAAGATTATCTACTACTATTTGTTGAGAAAAATTGCTGAATTGCTGTTGTTGGCTGGCCACAACAGCTGAAATATTGCTGTTTACTGAAAACAACAGCTGGAATCAGTAGTAAGAAGAGAGGAAATGCTAGAGAGAAATTGCTGAACCTTAATTGCTGAAATTTCTGAAGGTTTCTTCTGTAGGTTGCTGTAGGGTTGCTAAAAATTGGATGTATTTTGCATAAATCAGTGAAATCAAGAAGAAGAAAAAAAAGAAAAGCTGAAATTAAGTCATGATTGTTGTTATTATATGTCTGATATATTGCCTGCTAAATATTTGCTGAAAAATGTTAGGGAAAGGAAGGGAGATCGAAAAAAAAAAGAGGTAAGAGAAAGATTTTGGTGAATGAAGAAACATGTATTTGAGGCTGTTTACAAAAAAAAAAAGGAACAAAGAATGTTATAGAAGAACCAATTGACGACGAGGTGAGATACCCAACAATGCTATAGGAATTAATAAATGTTTTATCAAATTACAATTCATATCTATTCATATTTATTATAGTTGATAGCATTTATTTCAGTTTACTTCAATTTATTCATGACTATGATTATTCATAAACTATTGTCTATAATAGCATATGTCATGAGGGTTAAAAATGATTGTTGTTGAGAAAGTGAAATAAGTCATATATGAGGGATAGACTCGCACAAGTAAACGTGAAAGACCTGATGATGTAAGCCTACACTCTTAATTCTAACAGTTAGGAATTTGGACCCAGCCTTGAATGAGAGAGCAGCTTCAATTCTAAAAGTTGGTAATTTGAACCTAACATTGAATTGGAAAGCTGAAAGAGTGCAAAAGTTATAGTCATCATATGACTTGCTTAAAAATGTTCAACAATTAGTAAGATATAAAGTAATAATGCATTTCTTATGACCGGTATGTAATTTACATTTGTTTTAAATTGATTGTTAAAAATATTATTATTAATTATTATACACTGCTTATGTATTTCATTGGGCTATAGCTCATTAACAGTGGTTATACTATAGATAAGGGAAAGGAGCCCGTATGGCATTAAAGGGGTGACTGTTCTTTTTGGATGTACATATGTTTTGGGTGTATAAAGAGATCTAAAAAAATATCTGAATGATAGCTGAGCAGACTTTTGGGTAAGTAAATTTTAAAAGTTTTAGTAAAGCTCTGTATTTACTTTGATTATATTTGATGTTACTTGAGGTACATTACATGCTTAATGCTTCTTATTATTAAGTGGAGAGTTTGATACGCTGAAGTATTAGGAGAGTCTAAATAGATTTCTTCCCTTCTCTGTTATATTCCATATTGGCCGTTAGGGGGCGGGCCAAACTGGGGTGTGACAATAATGACTAAGAAGGTGCAAATGATGAAAAATCAAGTCGAGAATTGCTGTTTAAAAGAGAACTTTCAAGAGGGCGCCAACCTCTAATCATAGTAAAAGTAAGTCTCATGAAAAGATATGCTTCTATTGCAAAAAGAAACCAAGTATTAAGAGAATTCATAAAGTTTCATGGTAAATACAACCACAAGAGGATACATTAGCAAATTCTAGTGATGCTCTAGATTAGTTAGGGGTAGATTTAGATGATGCTCTTTGGTAACTACTAGAGAGAGTCAATTATTGCTAGATTTTATATTAAACATGTTAGTACCATTAAGGAGTTATTTTTCTATAATATTCACATAAAAACATGCATGAGACTATAATTATATAAGTATCAATGCGGTGCACAAAATAGCTATTTTGATACACAAGAAACACAGACAATGCTTTAGTTACAACAGCACGCATTCCAATTTTTGAGTGTTCTTAGTCAACAAGGATGCATGTTTTCAAAAGATGATAAAGTTCTTAAACTTTTCAAAGCTGCATTAATTTTCATAAAAGCAAAGAGCTTGATGGCCTATATGTGTCGCATAGCGGTACTTCGAACAAAACTTCTTCAATTTTATTCCCATCTATGAAACATTTCAAAATAAATGACAGCACTATGATTCTAGGGAAGCTAAGAAGAAAAACTTTAGGTTCTGTTTCGAAATAAAAGATGACACTAGTTGAGAGGAATTTTATAGATAGTTGTGTAGATCAATCTCTTGTTGCATAATTTATCTCGGTACTAGATCTTATCATAAAGCAAGGAGACATCTAATTCAGGTGCAAACATTCAATAGCAAATGAACTTTCGATAATGATGGGCTCATCTTGAATGTCAACGTATATTTTAAAGGCCTCTCACAAGTGTCAAGTTTAGGTGTCAACTTCTTCAGTATTTGGGAGCTAAAGAGATAATTTATGGAAGTCATATAAAGATACAAAAAATTTTGCTACATTATTAAATAAAGGGTGAAACTTGTTAGAATACTCACTCAATAATTTTGTTAAGATAAGCATAAAAATTAAAATTAATGATTAGTTTCAGGATTAATAGAAATTTATTAAATTATCTTACAGTATAATATCGGTTTAAAAGTTGGTTACAAAATTTTTTACTTGAAGCAAATTTTATTTTAAATTTTCACCTACTTGAATTTTTATAAATAAAAAATTAAAAGAGGGGAATAAGTATCTATACCCTGAGAGTATGGCCAACTGTTGCGGAGAAACAAAAAAGGTTAAGAGCAAGAATGATATGAGAATTCTTTGAGAAGCAGCTAGGTGGAGATCTTATTCTTGTTGGTATAAGAAAACCTCCAAAAGAATATTCAAAAAACTGAAATGAGAATTTAGAATACCATGCCAAAAAAGTGAAAGTTAATGAATATTAGTCTTTCACAGTCTCATAGTAAGAAATTCCTTTAGGAGAAGCTTGTTGTGCATCAAGAAACTACAACAAGCCAACAAGAATTCAAGGAAATAACTCTTATTTTATTAATTATAAGTGGGTCATGGAATGAATATTCACAAAACCTAAATGGACATTTTCAATATCAAATTGGAGGCATGTATGGAAATAATTACGAAACATGGAAGGCGTATCAATAGAGATGGTGCTGATCAAGAATGATTTTTTTTAGAATCACAAACCTTTAGATGTTAAAGTAAATCTACAGCAAGAATGGTAATTCTACTCAGAATAATGCTGAAATCACTTTAAAACCAAAAACAAGCTGCAATTATCAAGTTAAAAGTTCGACAGAAAAGAAGATATGGAAACAAAGCTCTTGTAAAATGTGCTATAGTAGCACCTACACAAACAAGGAAGTGCAAAACAATTCCCGTTTAGCAATCACAAACATGTAATAAACAAAAATAATTCATTAAAAATGTTCATAAAGCAAAGATACAAGTCAAAAATCACATTTAATCATTATTTCAACAATAGGAACTACAAGTCACCAATGACATTTCTTCCTGTCAAGGAAAATTAAGAGTGTTTTTAGGAGTCCATGTACATATATGCATGCTATACCTGAAATGTTTTCTTGCTTGGTCGTACTTCTTTATGCTGAAGTAGTAGCAACCGATGGCAAACCATGAAATAGCTCTAGACCAAAGAGATAACTGTTATCAGATAACTTTTCAATAGAAAATAAAAAAGAAAAAAGTGAAAAGATAGAAGATTTGGAAACTTCGCCAAACTATTGCATCACTGAAATGAAGTCCTAAACATTAAGAGATACATTTAAATAAGTATTACAACATCATCAGTTCAATTTAGAAGCGTACGCCTGTAAAACCCAATTTGATTAGGTGTGTGCCACATTATGATTAATTTAATAATAACCCCAAATTCTAATTTTTTCGAAATTCCGCAATTTTAATGTCATTGTATTCTACTCATCGAATGGAGAACTATAGGTCAGAGTTTGAAAAATTGGAAATTAGGTAATTCAACCTCATTTGTATTTTTCCTAAGTAAAAAAAAGAGAGATTACAATTTAAAAAAAAAAAATTTCCTGTGGCCTAGGGTTTTATTGTGATGGTTGTTTGAAACTGGAGTGATCATGGGAAGGCTAGAAGCTTAAGGGAAGAAGAAGAAGAATCAGGGGAGGAAGATGAGAAAAGAGAAAGGAGGGAAGAATTTTATTTTGTGCATATAAGAAGGATTTATATGGTTAGTGTATTTAACAATTCTAATTTTAAAGGGTTCCGTTATTGATTGGGGCATTAATACTGCAAGAGAAATTGATACCTATAATCACGTATGCGATGTAGAAATTTGAAGGTATTTTAGGTGGAAATTGAATTAATTGTATGAGTTGAATAGGAGATTGCGTGAATCAACAATAAACGATTTGCTTTATTTTAGGTGCCCTACATATAGGCTGGTATCCAACTTTGTAAGTCCGCATGACAATAAGGTAAGATACATAATTTTGTTAATATAATATGCTACTATGATTGCGTATAGTTGTAATGGTCTCTACATTACACAATTGTAATTAGTCTAGAATTATAATTTATATCACCATGTCATATGTAATGATCATGTTATATTATGCGATCATGTGCAAGTCTATTATGTTGTACCTTGTGATAGATATTCATATAGTCAGTCATACATGCCTATATGCTGATACATCTGACAATCATATTAAATTGTTTGTATATGCATATTTCAATATATAGGCAAGTGTCACGCAATTTGGATGGGAAAAATGCGATGATTAGAAAAGCCTAAAAATGTGTCCTCTTAGATGGTAGATGAATGAAACAATGTGACCCTAATGGGCAGTGTGACCTTGTAGAGAAAGGGCGATCTCAATATGATATGAAGCCTACGGGCGATAGAGGCAATGTGACCTCAAGAACCTACGGGCTATGATATAAAGCCTACGGGCAATAAGGCAATGCAACCTCACGAGCCTATGGGTTATGATATGAAGACTACAGTGGGGGCTCCGAAAATTCGGCCCCGGCCTCCGCTCGCTATATTTGGACTGCTTCGGCGTCGTTCGCAGAATCGGGTACTGTAGCAGTCGGCGTATTCAGCAGGATTTACGGGCATTCGAACGGGATTTGCGGAGATTTCGAGCGATTTCTCAACGGATACGAGGCTAGTATGATTTCCATTTTTGTTCTTTTACACATAGGTCAACATACGGACAATAAAGGCAGCGTAACCTCAGGAGCTTATGAGCTATGATATGAAGCCTACAGGCAATAGAGGCTGTGTGACCTCAGATGCCTATGGGCTGTAGACCTAGACCTCATCATGTGAACATGACACTTTATAAGGTAGGAAAAAGGAAGTTAATTGAAGAATTGAAAGATATAAGGATGATTACATATTGTGATGTATGAATTACTCATTCAATACATTTTGACATGGTTGATGATGCTGGCAGTATGTGACATGTGGTGGTAATATTGGCATTATGAGACATACTCGAAAGTTTGGTTCAAATGAGCATAGTGCTTACATGCGACCTTATTTTTACCAGTTAAAAAATTTTGTATTATGCATATTTCCTTTTTAATGATTTCATGCAGTTTTTACTTCCACTTGTTAATACGCAGGTAAGTATTGTGTTTCATTTACTTGAATACGGTATTAGAATTGCATATCTTTTTTGGCCTCATAACTAACCAGATTTTTATCCTGATTGTTATTACATGAAAGGCTAAGAATATAGTAGAAGCTGACTAGACTTAGGTCAAATTTTAAAAACTATGTTTGGTTGTATGGTAGCATGAAATGAGTTCTTAGCAGAAGTATGTGAACTGTTTGTTATGAAAATATTTTTAGATTGTTGGTTGTTTTGTAATTATATACATATGAAGTGCATGAAGAAAATTGAATGTTTCCATTTTAAATGGCATGAAGATAGTTGAAATCATTTGGTTATGAATGTTTAGGAATTATATGATTTTCTTTGTTGCACCTTGCATTATTTGAAGAGGGCGGGGTGGGACGTGACAACACTTGAGTATCTCAAAGAGTCAAAATAATCATTTTAACAGCAAAAAGGTTATTTATGGCAGTACGAGAGCAGCACATTTTCAGTAATATTCATGTGTCATAACAGAAAAAAAGCAAAACGAAAGAAGAAAGTTTACAGTCCTTCAAAGAAGATAAGCAAATAAAGCAGCATACAAAAATGTAAACAAAAGGAACTAAGTATTTCAAGAAAATTAGGACCTGGAAATGTGATTCAGTAATTCACTGTAGAAAATCAATACAAAGGGAAGCTATGATATTTCTAAGATAATTTAAACAGCTCTAACCAATTTTCAGGCCTCAAAAGTTTGTAATCTGCAGCAATGCTCAAAGAAGTTCAAACCCATTTCTGGTAAAAAGAAGACAATAAACAACTGACAGCACGAAATATTTAAAAGTGAAAGAATCAACAGATTAATAAATAAAATAGTAAATATCAGCAAAAACAGTCATTATATAGACATAGTATAAAAAGATCAACGCTTGACTGATTATTGTCACGTAAAATCAAGTTGCGCCATGTATAAAAATAAGCTAAACCTAGAAACAAATTGCGTTTATTCCACATGTACAAGTGTTCAACATAGAACAGAGAAAACAAAAGTCAGCACATGACTCACTTTTGAGGATGGTCCTTTATCAAATTGCAAGCCAGAAGATAAAGATCATTAGAGTGCCCAAGCTCCATAGCAGCAGCTAAATGAACTAAAGTGCATTTCATATGGAAAGGGTCTTTGGTGAGTAACCTGCAGACACAGACAGACATAATAATCATGACCGGTCATAATCACTAAGAAAAACAGCCAATTTCTTCAATATACTTGCAGACTTACAAAGAGGTGAACTCAAAACATTTGTGATACTCTCCACACTGATAATAGTACTCAGCGTTGCAAGCCAATAAATCAGCATTATCTTTTAGCACAAGCATGAAGGGTGAACTAGAAGTAGTGCAAGGGTTGTCTCTCTCAATATCTCTAAGCTTTGCTTCCACAACATTTTCTTTGTCATGCTGAAGTTACATTAACAAAAGGACGCTAAATCAGAACTTAACAAAATACTAATTCAAATTCACGAATCAAAAAGTAAAATGACAAATGTGCTTACCTTCTTCACTAAACATGAATAAATTGTTGAAAGCCACCCATCCTCCTTGACAAATTGAAGAGATGATAACAGGCTTGATTCTGAAAACCACGTGCAACTGTATTAAACCCCAATATGCTACAGATTACACAAAGTAAAGAGCTAAAATTAACAAACTTTCTCAAATAAGGCCAGGTTGCATTTAAAAAATGTCGAGTCACCATCCATAAAAGGCCAAGCCTATGTTTTGCTATTGTACACCACCACGTTTCAACAAAGGTAGCCTGACAAACAGTTGTGACCAAGACCTAAGCTACTACATTAAAAAAAAGGCCTCAATTGGTAATTCTTTTCAGCTGATTTTCTTTTCAAAAACCTGATACATCACAATATTGACTGGTGCGGTAACATGAGATGATAAGAACTATACTGGGTGTGCACCTCCTCTGTGACTTCACAACCTCAGGCAATTCGGATATGGAGAAGCTAGTCAATCTCCTTACTAGTAATGCCTTTTTTTGGAACTAAAAAATATAGAATAATAACAGAAAATATAGCTAAATGAACCATAAATATGATACGCAAATACATTTAAACACCTAATGTTAACTATCCAAAGGGGTTAAATATAACTTCACATAAAAAAGCATAAATACAGTTCATATGTTCCAGCCAAGCTCAAAATTACAAGCATACCAGAAACATAATCCCAATTGGTTCAGCTAATTTTGCAGAAAATTGAGAAACAAAAAAAGCCCCTAATAAGGTCCATAAAACAGCAACTTGTAACTGGAGCTGTAGTCTTCAATGCTAAGTTTAGTCCTCTTACCTACAACTTTATTGCAGAATCAAGTAGTAGTTACAAAGATAAGGACCTCTTATAGGATAGTCACCCTCCTTTGGGAAAGTTTCAGATCCTTAAGAGCATTAAGAGAGTATAAATGTAACACCTTCCTAAAAGCTAAATTTACCTTTTCCAGATACTTGTTATGTGGTTAGACAATGCATAAAACAAAATTCTAAGAGCATTCATCATCACCAACAGAACTTGCATCGAGTTCCGAAGACCACTTCCCAAACAAGCAGTAAGATTTGCTTTCTGCAATTATTGCATCCAAAATGCATGTTAGGATTCTATGTGCTTCAATTCTTCTCAAACTTAAAAAAGCTTAGGTAAACAATCATTTGAATTTACCTTTTTACAATCAAAAGATAGATATGATTATAGATATGATTGTAGCAGCCTACAGAATGATTCTGGTTAAATTACAACTATAAAAAGTGTTTAAGTAATGACAAGTATTTTTTGGGTATCAAGCAATAACCGAGTTTCTTATGATTTCTTAATATTAAACCTCGTAATAATAGTATTTGAAGCAAAGTATATTTTAAGAACTTGATTTCTTAATTAATATATCTGCCATGAAAGTTTTGCTATTTAGAGATTTAAAGAATATTCTGCAAAATTTGGAGAAATAATTCCTTTTGAGGGATTTATCAATAAGATATTTATTTACTCTATCAGAAACACCGAACCATCCTGGCTAGCTTGACTGACTAACCAACAAGGCAGTTTGATTTGTTCTGAACGGGGCAACAACCTAACAGATTTGGTTGCTTCCCAGCTTGAAAAGGAAGTAAAACCATTGCAGCTAAGCATTACCTAAATGTATCGGAAGGGGCAAGAGAGAACTATGATGACCCTTAGAAGGAGATGAGGTTGCATGAACTTGTCATCAAGATGTAGGTGAAATTCAAAGCTGCTAATACCATTGACATTGTTTTTGAGGCAATAACATCATCTCTTATTTCTACTCTCACTCGTTGCAATTTCTAAATATCCAAATACAAGAGTCAATGCCAACAATATCAACTACTAGTGTTGAAGAATCACTGGCCGCAAGATCAACCAAGCATCTCGCGCACTCGTCGACTACCACTCCCGCAGCCCTAGTGAGCGTCCGAAGACAAGAGAGACGTTGATCGAGCACTGAGCGTCGATGGCATCACTTCCGCAGGTGTTGCACACAATCAATTTCTTAGTTAACTTCTCAGGTGCGGCACAATCTAGAGAGCTTCATTAAATCAAGATCGTCGATTGCAACACTTCCATTAACTTCTTAGGTGTCGCACAATCGTCTTGAAGTTATTGTTATATTGTTTCATTGATTTGTTGGTTTCAATATTAGAAATCGTGAAATTAATGAATTGATTTTGATATTCCTTTTCACCGCAGAAATTTTGCCATGGATTTGTCGTTGTTCCCCGCACCTATCTCGTCGGTCGAATATTATGGAATAGCGAGGGAGAGGTGTAATTTTTTTAAACTTGATTTTGCTGATTTGATTTTTTTTTCTTCGCATTTATTAAATTTCAAAAATTTTACAATAGGAATAAATCCAACCAAGTGGCTTGAAAATTTGAATTTCTAACAGTTATTTGGCGGTTTAACAGAGGAGAATGATATTAACAATAATGTAGAGGTAGAGAATGGTGATGGTGATGCTAATAACGATAGTGTCGATAGTTATGATGTTGATGATGACAACGATATTGATGATTGGTTTGAGAATGAAAAAACTCAATTTAAAGGAAAACAAATCATTGGAACCATTAAAAAAAAAACCTACTAGAATTCTTAAAGGGGGAAAGTGTGATAGTGATTGTGTGGACTTAAGTGATGCCGTGATGATGCTAGTCTTCATGGTAGTTATGAAGATGAAATTTGGAAATGACCAGCTTTCAATTTAATGACAGATTTCAGTACCAACTATTTTGAAATTGGCATGTTATTTAGTTGGAAGAAGTTCAAAAAAGCTGTTGAAAATTGGTTTATTTTAACGGGGAAAATCATTAAATTTATAAAGAATGATAAAAGAAGTTACAAGGTTATCTACAAGCGGCCTAATTGCCCTCTTAGTATATATATCTCAATACATGTAGGTAGTAATTAGTGGCAGATTAAATCTTTACAGGATCATACAAGCACATGGAATTACAATAACTTTGACATCAACAATTATTGCGAAGAGGTATGTGAGTAAATTCAAACTCAATCCCCAAATGAGATGCAATGTGTTTAGAAAGAAGTGATGGATGACTTGAAATTGCATGTATCAAAACCTCAAGTCAAGAAGGCACCTCACTTCATCCACATGAAGGAGAAATATTAGTTTAATAAAATTTGGGACTATTGTCTTGAAGTATCAAGGAGTACTCCAAAATCTACAATTTATGAGCTTACTACGAAAGACCTAGATTTGTGTGGGAGAAAAAGATTTATGTGACTTTATGTTTGCTTCGATGCATGCAAGAAAGGCTTTCTATCTGGATATAGGCCAATTGTTGATGTTGATGGATTTTTTTTGAAAGAGCAACAAGGAGGTCAACTGTTAATAATTGTAGGGCTTGATGGTAATAATAACATATTATTTTATTGTATGGGTAGTAATTGAGATAGAAAATAGAAGCATTTCATAATAGTTTATGAGTTTGTTAGACAAAGATCTACAGATTTTGGAGAATCAACAACACTATACCTTCATTTCAGATAAGCAGAAAGGTTTAACTCTTGCTTTTGAGAACATTTTACCTAATGTAACCAATAGATTATGTTAAGACATTTGCATCAAAATTTCAAATTGACAAGCTTCACTAGCATGGCTCTGAGAATGCCTTATAGGCAGCAGCAAGGGCAAACACTCTTAACCAATTCACCTTCAGGATGATAGAGTTGGAGAACTTAAATGTGGCAGCATACAAATGGTTGAGTGAGAATCCTCCAGCTGAGTGGCCCAAGTTTCATTTTAGTTTTATACTAAATGTGATACCTTGCTCAATAATATATGTGAATATTTTAACTCATACATTCTTGATGCTAGAGAATTACCCATTGTGTCAATGTTTGAAAGTATTAGAGCTATAGATATGACAAGAATGTAGGAGGCGTTAAATTGTAATGGAAAGATTTGCCCAAGGAATAAGAAATTTTTGGGAAAAATATGCATGTAGCAGGTTTTTTTATAGATTACAAATCAGATGATAATAATTATGAGATAAGTATCATGCATGGAGGTTAGTATAAGGTCAACTTGAACTTAAAATCTTGATCTTGTCGGAAGTGGAAGTTAAGTGAAATACCATGTGAACACTCTTGCGCTCCAATTCATAAGATAATGGGAAACTGAGGATTTTGTTCATCCCTACTGCACAATAGAGACTTATATGAGAGGTTATAAGTGTAAAATAAAGCCTTTGAATGGAGTCAATGAGTGGCCAGAGTAAATGGATATCACCATTGCCACCAAAATATAATAAAGCAAAGAGGCGAAGGCCATCGAAGATGTGAAAAACTATCGATGAAGAAGCATCACATTCTATCCCCAAAAAGTTAGGGAGAGCCAATGTGAAGCTTCATTGTTGTAAATGTGGACAAAGTGGACATAATAGCATAACATGTGATAAGAGAATGCATACTAAAGAGGGATATGGAGAAGTCTAGGAAATGGTTCAACGCATATCATCTCATCAATTTTATTAACATTGATATTGATAATAATTTTCATTTAAAAATGCTATTTTTTTAATTAGCCTTTGGAGTTGTTGGAATGTCGACCACAAACTGAACCTGCTTTGGAAGTTCTCACTCAAGGATCTTCAAATACAAAACTTTTAGCAAGTTGATTGTATTTTTTTCTTCATAATCGACTTTTTTTTGCTATGTAAATCTAATCAAATCTCATTTTTTCATAGATTTACACCTCCAAAAGAAAAAAAATTTCATTGAACGAAACTTTAAAGCATAGAATTTATCCAAATTTTGTCGTTAGTTCAATTGCATGCCTTTCTTGCTTTTAATAATGTGGGATAGAGAAGCCTTTAATGAAATGTATTTTTGCTATTGTTTAGTAATTTTTTTCTTTTGTATGATTCTTTAATCTACAATGTATGTAATGAAACAATGGATTAATCCAATTAATTGAGAGAAATTTTAATTGCCATTTTTTTAATTCAATGTAATTTTAGAGCTTGTCCTACATTTGTAGAGCTTGCAAGGAAATAAGAACATCAAGATTTTGCATTTTGACCAATTCATGATAAG